TAACAATTTGCATACATATTTAAACTTTTTTATTGAGTTTGAGGCCGCTTTGAATAAAAACGTGTAGAAAACAACGATAATTTTAATTTAAAACGGCCTCAAACTCAATAAAAAAGTTTAAATATGTATGCAAATTGTTATTAGGCAAAAAAAAACCAAAACGGAACTTCAAAAAAAGTTAAAACATCAGGTTATGTGGTTAAATTTTTTATTAAGTTTACAACAGCCAAAAACACTATACAAAATAATTATTAACCAGATAACCTGAACACCCACAATAAATTTTCAAAACAAAAAATCAAAATTCAAGATTTCGTAATTTAAAAAATTATTATCTAGTAAATATTGTAAATTTTGAAAATAAACTTATTTATTTAAAAATTTAGAAATTTTAAAATCAAAAATTTATAAATTCAAGTTTTTTCACATTTTTTTAATTTTTTCGGACTATAATTTTTTGGCATTGTTTTCTACCATTTTCCATAAATTTCTTTTAGCATTCTTGACAATACAATTCTTACTACAAAATTTATAGCCACACTTAAATTTTAAGTACAACTTCAACTTTTTGGATTTTAATTTAACAATTTCCTTCCGCCAGCAAAATTTTTTAGTAACCGAAAATTCATTGTAGCACCACACCATACTGCCTAGCCGTACGCCAGCAGCACCTTTTACTAAACTTTACATACATATAAAGGTACACACAAACAATCGCCCATATGTATGTACATATGAAATATGTAGTATTTTACTAGAGTATTTTCGAACGTTGCTTTTGTTTTGTTGTGGCGCGTTGTATGAAATAAAAACTTTTAAATAAATATAAAAGACTGGCGAAAAAAAGTGTGCAGCGCGCAAAAACAAAGCAATCGTTTACATATGCACGCATACTCTCTCACACACATAAACACACCTGCCTATGCATATAAAGTTGTTTTTGACCGATTAAAACGCTTCCAGGCAATTTGGCATTGAACAAAACCAATCGCCGGCAACATAATGAAATATGAACAAAAATATTGGTATGTGGATGAGAGTGGCATGGTTAGTGGGTGCTGGGTTTTGTAGCAAAGTTGCCAGATTTGCAAAAAAAAACGCAAAGAAAATAAGCTTTAGACATTAGATTACCTTGTAAAAACTTGATAAATTCAGACATCACACTTTGGACGAAATGTGTAGCCCATATTGGGTTCTAAAGCATAGAACCATTGGAAGGTATTGTTGACTGGATGTTCCCCCTGGTCCAAAGTAATTCACAGTGTATTTCCGCGATTCAGACGTTCCCAAATCAATCGAAGTTTATTGCCTAAAATGTGTGGATGTTTTACGAAGCTAGAGAACCAAGGCAAGCAGTTTGATGGCGCTTTAGCAGTTGAGTTGTATATCGTTGTAACCGCTACGCCAGTGACTACCGACCTTTGAATTCCGCCTTTTTTAACCACGTAATCTTTAATAAGGGCTGGCCCCCAGACTACTACCATATACCAGAGCATTGGTAGGACTATAGCTGTGCACAATCCTCGGTTTTAATCTCCAACTATTGCCTAACATTCTCTTAGCTACATAGGGAGCAACCGATGTCTGCCTTACACGATCTGCAACGTTTAGCCTCCAATTACTTCACCCAGTCGCGTACCTCATAACCGTGCTCGCGGTTCGACCTAAAAAGATCTATTGTACTAAACCCTAATTATAGTCACTCCAACCATGCGACACATTGGAGATTGTCATGTTCCAAATTTTAGATCGAGAAGATAACCGTTCCCCAAGGTGTATCAGTCTACGATACGTGGGCACATAGAATATGCTCTGAGGTTTCCTCCAGCAGCCCACAAAACCTGCAGTCCGTCTCTACAGAATGTCCCATTTTATTCAAATGGTACTTTAACTTGCAGTATCCAGTCAGATAGCCTGTAAGAGTTCTAAGACCCTCTGGACTATGTCCAATCAGTATTTCATAGTTCCTCCTGGAAGGAGTTATGAATTCCCTTTGACTTTCGCCAGTGTGCTGCTATCTGAGATTCTTTCCAACTCCTAAATAGTTCTGCAGCGTATCCTTTAGATGCGGCAGAAAGGCTTGAGACCATGCATGAGCATTTGGGCTCCACGTTTTTGGAGCTAGTCAGCCCTTCAGTTGCCTTCAAACCCTTCACATCCAGGAACCCAACTCAGTTTTACTCTATTATGGGCTCCGAGGCGGTTCAAAAGAGTTTTACAACTGTCCGAAAGCCTTGATGTCGTTCTAAATGAGTCTAAAGCCTTTAATGCTGCCTTACTATCCGACATGATATTTATCTTGGACCCGTTTATCCTTCTGCGAAGACATTTTAGAACGTCTGTGTTCGTTTGCGAAAACTTCCGCCTGGAGTATGGTTGGGTATGAGCCCATTGGCAGACTTTTCTGGAATCTTGGTCCGAGTATGCCTGCCCCGATACTTCCGTCGTCCATCTTCGATCCGTCGGTATGCCATACTTGGAATCCTTTATCTGTCAGCGCTCTACAGCTACCGCTTTCAGGAATTCAGACCTTGTCTAGGGCTTGTCTAATAATAATTTCGGTGGTGAACTTAATAGCGGGATCATCCAGGAATGGCTTGAGATCCTCCAAGTGATCCCTAATATCGCCTATTTTCATGCTGATTCCATTCGGCAGCCGTAGGGCGCTGTGGCAGGCTTTCTTTTCAGTCATAATATGCAGAGGAGGAGTGCCTGTAATCAAACGTTGGAGTATAAAAGTCTACTAAACCAGCACGGTAGTAGCCACTAAAGACTTTCAGCTAACTTTTGGATTTCAAATACTACTTCTTCAGTTACTCATTCTTGCTTGCTGAAAAAGTGGCATTCATTTTGCCGCATTACTGGTTTTATTACCACATTTATATTTTTCCGTAAAAATCCTAACCACTGGCAACTCTCCGCCAGTCACTAGCGGCTGCATGCAAATTTTTTAAACCAGCATTTTTTCCGGCAATTCTCAAAAAATGTTTGCATTGCAACGTATGCATTTTACTATGCAATTGTTTTTAGAATTTATGTACAGAATATTAGAAAATCTACATTTTAGAAATTTCACAGCATTCCCAAACAAAGGTTTGACTGCGAGTACGAGTATGTATGAACGTGTATTTTTTCTTAGTTCATAATTCTTTTACGCGTTATTTGGAGTTTAGGTCGTGTTTGTAGTGTGCGCTTTTTCAAAAATTCTAAATTCTATGCACGAATTTAGAATTTTCATCAGCTGTAATAACCGTAACGTGTTGCATATTTTAGGGAACAAAGAGTACAAATAAACAAAAAAAAACGAAACTACAACTACAACTACTCACAAATGCACATACAACAACAGCAAGAACAACAACAGCCATGGCAGCAGCAGCAGCTATGAAATGTTTTGAAAAATATTCAATTTGAATTTCAAATGCAATTTGAAAGCGTGTTGAAGTGCAACAAATCCATTCACGGGGCATTTAGAAGTTATTTTAAGCGCCTACAAATATGCATAGGTGAGGAGTTAGTGAAGCTTTGCATGCATGTATTACAGATTTGTTGAGAAAAAATATGATGATGGATTAAAATAAATGGTTGAGCAGTGAGTGTATTAAAGTTGTTTTTTTTTAAGTGTGAATATATGAACCATTAGTTATGCAAAGATAGTTTTTAATTTAAGTAGAAGCTTTGATAAAGTTAAGTAGTGATGATCTGAAGGCGGAAAATTTCTAAAAGAATAGCAGGCGCTCCTAATAACACGCTCGTCATACTGCAAGGTATGGGTAATGTGACCAACTATTTCATAGCCCAAAGAGGTACAGCTTAGGTTGGGTTAAGTTAACGCCGCGAGCCGATTACGAAATTTCGAATGCGGCTAATTTCGATCCCTGAGCCTCGCGTAGGTTGGACTGTCTAAAAGAAAGTGTGGATATGATTCCACTTCATCCTCCTCTTGACAGCTGATACAAAAGGATCAGTCGAAATTCCTAGTCTCACCGCATCAATACCAATCGCACAGTGGCCTGTCCGAACCTTCATCATTAGCCCTTGAGAGGTAGCGTGCTTTAAAATTCCCTATAAAAACATTTGTTGCAGCAGACACATGTCTTTCTTTTGCGTTGGTGCAGAAATTTGCAAGAGAGAATTTGGGAGCATTTTTTCTTACTATCTGATATTTTTAGTGATAGTTGTCTTCCCAGAAAGTTTTGCTTTACATAGAAATTTGTGCTCTTTTATTTTAATTTTGACGCAGTGTTGGTGCTTTAAATTCAATTTGACCTTTTTTTGGAATTTAAATAAGTTCTCAGCAAAAGAAAGAGTATTTAAAAAAATACATATGTATGTATGTATATAGTGCTTGAAAATATCCATTTTTCCCTTACTTTAAACTTTTAAGCGTGGGCAACAATGATGTTTTTTAATTAAGGCAGAATTGAATATGCGCTATCTGGGAAGACAATACCTGTAATATTTATTCTATTCGTTGGCACTATGTACATTGGGATATGTACATTGGTAAGTAAGTAAAAAGTTCTTTAACAGATTATCGCTTAGTCAAAAATGGGAATATATATATTTGAGTCTTAAGAAAACAAGACAAACAGCAAAATCGGCTAAAATCGGCTATTTTTTTTTACAAAGCGGCTAACAAATCGGCAACCGGCTAAATCTAGCCGGAAAACAGCTAAAATGGCATCACTGTCTATGAAGTAAAATTTAAGATAGATCTCTGTTTCGCACAATTTATCGTTCGGAACAAGCTAGGTGGACAAAATTCATGACCGGATTTCTAGAAACTATCCTTTTCTATAAGCATTAAGGATATTCCCAAAGCATTGACTGCAAAGTTTTTGTATGCCCTCCATTCCACGGAGAGTTGTGAAAGAGTTCAGAAATAAATTTGTAATCGTACTGAAACTCAAAAACATTTTAGTGGACTTTCTATATTTTTTAAAAACCTCTCTTTTTGTAGAAGCGCGTAATATGTTATAAATTTTAAATCGTGGATTTTATTTCTGTTGGTATTTATTACATCTACTCAACTAAAATAAACTGTGGACTATTTCTGTTATTATGAAATATTAAAAATATGAAAAACATTGCACAGCAATAGTGAGGCCAATATTACTCTATGTCGCGCGGGAAGAGTGATTGCAGCAAGTGAGTTCAGGTAAAGCACAAGTATTTTTTAAGCAAAAAACAAAACCGAATTCAATTCGCATATAAAAATTTAGGAGTACCTACCGTTGATTAGTCATGATCCAATGATCGGATCTAAACCAGATTGGTATGGGACCACCTCTGAGATACTACTTTTCCGAGGCAAAAATAATTATCGAAATCGGTTGACGTGGTGAAAAGTTATGCGGTAACATACATAATTAAAAAAAATTTTAAAAAATATTCCGACGAACTGATGACCTCCTCCTCTTTTGGAAGTCGGTTAAAAACTGGCCACAGCTTCATAGCTAAAGGACATGTATTCACAACATCCTACATGACACTTTGCTATAACTGGGATACGGATGGCGTAGAGACATGAAACCATGACGGAAGACATTTAATTTTTTAACACAGATGTCTCAAAAATGAAAAATGGAGTAGGAGCTGGAGTATACTGCTCACAAGTTAATGTTCGTCAGCGCATTAAGCTGCCGGATCACTGCGTGCTTAAGTCAAAATTTAAGCTACACGATGCTACTGAAAGAGATATGAAGAAACAAAGTTTTAAAACTCGTGGAAAATCACTGGTTTTGAACGAAATTCTTTAAATGTATAAATAACTTAAATATAAATATAAAAAAAAAACCTTCCAGTGAATCGCATGCTCCCATGGAAGACGAGTAAGGAGCATTCATAAATTGTATATCGATACTTGAGTGGAAGATCGAACTATCTCGGCAGCCAGTTTGAAAACGCCTTATCCCAGAAAAGGGCTCTTGGAGTATTCGGGAAAAAGATGTTGCGGAAAATTTACGGGCCTTTACGCATTGCCGACGGCGAATACCGCCGACGATGGAACAGCTCCGCTGGCTTGGTCAAGTCGTTCGAATGGACACCGGCGCTCCAGCACTGAAAGTATTCAATGCGGAACCCACTACAATGGAGAGACCAAGTGGAGAAGGACTTGGCACTTCCAAATGGCATCAGTTGGCACCGAAGAGAAACGACTGGCGTATTTCGTTCAACAAGGCCAAAATCGCTTAAGCGGCTAGAGCGCCAAATAAGAACGAGATTCGTTTTTCAATGGTCGCCTTAAAGCTTAAGGAAAATACTTGTGTCAGTTTTTATTTGGACAATATCAGTGTTACTTCCCATTTTGTTTCCTAACACTATGTTAAAAAGCAAAAATTAACCATTGCTTTCCGGCTTATTGTCTTCATTACTCGCACTACTGCGGCATAAGATTTTGCCCGTCTTTTTTTCTACCCTCGTTAACATAATTTTTGCACAAGCAGACAATTTAAGATTCAAGAAAACTGGCTTTTATTGTTCAGAGTACGATATTTGCAAACACAGCGAGATAAATACATGCACACATACATATATTTCTTACATACATACATAACCGTGTGGTCAGCTGATTAAGTCAAGTAACATTTTGATTAGTTTTGGCTATTTTTCTTTTGTTTATTTAATGTCTATATTCTTTTTA